CCAACTGGGCACTAGGTACCTGGGTCAAAAGTTCCTATTTCAGCTGCCTGCAATCACAGGATGGTTTGGGTTGGAAGGGACCTCAAAGCCCACACAGTCCCACCCCCCTGCCGTGGGCAGGGACACCATCCACTAGACCAGGTTGCTCATTCTAAGGTATCAGTTATCATAGTAAAGATGCAGTATAATAAATCCACGGTAGGCCAGGCACAGTTACCATCACCTCTTAACAGCTTAGTCTGGAAGAGCAAAGTTAGGACAGATGACAACTTGTTTTCCCAAGAGCCCGTTTTGCTTCAACAGCAGCCGATTTGCTAGAAGGTATCTACTTCTGCTACGGTATTTAATTCTAATCCACCAGAGAAATCTGTTGCCTTACAAGACCAGAGTAACTGTTGCCCCTTGCTAGGGTAAACTGCTACATAATCCCATTACTGTTAACAGAGAAACAGACTTTAGGAGGGGGAAGTGTAGGGTTAGAGTTTGAGTCGCACCAAGTTCGTAACTATCAAAATATTTATTGGAAGTTATAAAATTTAAATAATAGCTATACATTATATACACACAGCTGCAGTTTTAGAAAATAAGGTTTCATAGTTGACAAAGGTCAAGAGAGAGTTAAGCTACATCAGTACTAAAGTTTTCTTGAAATCCAGACTTCAATCTCTACACTTTAGCTGCTACATCACTTCGTTCAAATGCAATCACGCTACTTGACATGGAGCTTGGGTACCTCCTTCAAATAAATTATGTATAAACACAAAAACATCAGGTTGGGCAACAGTGTTTGACCCTTTTCCTTCATTCTCCCTCAAACCTGCAAGCACTTTTAATGCAAATGATCGTTATTTTACCTCTTCTCTTTCCAAGTAACACACACAGAAGTTGTCCTTGCTCAGAAGCACCATGGAGTCTCCAGTGGGATGCCAGGAGAGCGCGACGATCTGGAAGTCACCTGCAGAAACAGAGCAGAGCTTGTCAGCAAGAAGCTGCCAGCCTCTCCTCACTCCAGCTACCTTTCCCTTGGGTGAAAGGCACGTACAGCGTAAAAATACCCTCCCCACCTTGGAAACCTCAGTTTGCAGATTCACAAAGTGGAAGGGGTTGGAAGGGCCCTCTAGGGATCATCTAGTCCACCCCCCCTGCCAGAGCAGGATCCCCTAGGGCAGATCACACAGGAACAAGCCCAGGGGCTTTGGAAAGTCTCCAGGGGAGGAGACCCCAGCCCCTCTCTGGGCAGCCTGTTCAGGGCTCTGTCACCCTCCCAGGGAAGAAGGGTTTCCTCATGGTCAGGTTGAACATTCTGTTTCCCAGTTTATGGCCATTAATGGTGGTTTCATGGTGTTACTGCTGTGGTAGAGGCAATCCCTTCTCCACTCAGACAAGTGGCGTTACCGACTCTAAAAACAGTTACAGGCTGAATTAGAGTACAGGTTCACACAGGTTCTTCTCTTTCCACAGCAGGTTTACCACCAACATTTTTCCTCATTAATGTTTTGTCATAATTCAGCTCTTTTCAGAACAGCCAAAACCATTACAGGCATTTCAGCGTCCTCATTTAGAAGCCATTTACATGATAATGCTCGGACAGATTTACAAGGGGAGAAATATTTTGTAAAGACAGAGACAAGACATGACACTTGGGCCTGTTGTACTCGTGCTTAACTAGCAGCTGAGTTTTGGGAGGTTATGCTTTCAGCAGGCTTGGTTATGTGCTGCAGGTTTACTAAATAAGAACTGAAGAATTGAAAATCTGATCCTATTTTCTTAGCCAGGGAAAAAAGTAGCGTAGCTTTTCCTTTCCAATTTCATATTTTGAAGGTTTGCCTTTGCTAGTTGTGATAATCACATTTATTCATTTTTGGGGCTCTTACTTGCTCATTACTACAAATTGAAAGTTTGAAATGATCAGCTTCAGGCTTCATTGCTACTGAATGAAGTTTTAACTCAATTACGTTTTTTTCTTCAAACTGAAGAATCCTTTTGGAAGCAAACAAGCAAATCTTTTAGATTTCCCCTCTCCCTAGTTTCTAGATTACAATTTATCTGTCCATCTCTTTACAAGTAGTTACTCTTAACTGGAAAGTGCAGGGGAAGGACATAAAAATTCAGACTGTTTTCCTCCATCCATTTTCCTCAATCCCAATTTTCCTCAATCTAATCAAAATAGATTAAAACAGCAGTTCCAGTACGAGTAGCCTACACTTCAAACAGGCACAAAGAGATAATGGAGCACAAGTTCCGTAAGGAGCAGCTGAGGGAGCCCGGGTTGTTCAGCCTGGAGAAGAGAAGCCTCAGGGGTTGGTCTCTTCTCCCAAATAACAAGCGATATAGCAAGAGGAACCAGCCTCAAGTTGTGCCAGGGAGGTTTAGATTGGAAATTGGGAACGATTTCTTCCCAGAAAGGGCTGTCAGGCATTGGAAGGGGCTCCCCAGGGAGGTGGTGGAGTCACCATCCCTGGAGAGATTTAAGAGCCATGTGGACGAGGTGCTCAGGGACATGGGTTAGTGCTGGGCTTGGCAGTGCTGGGTTAAAGGTTGGACTTGACAATCTTAAAGGTCTTTTCCAACCTAAAGGATTCCATGATCCTTTAAGTAAGAAGCTGATGGTTTGTGGAAGTTCTTGTGGGCAGGCTTACCTTCCACGGGAACCTGCACCGATATGCAGCCAGCTGGGGACCACAAGTAGACTTTGCTATTTCCCGTACACACAGCGAGTCGAGGTTGTCGTGGATCCCACTGGAAAGATTGGACGGCACACAGCTGCTCTAAGACTACAAACAGCTTCAGCTTCTGAATGTCCCAGATCCAGACAGCATTAGGAATGTTATCTGTCAGAAAAGGAAGACGTAGTCATGTAAACAGCTGCAGGATAAGATCATCACGCTTTGAAGAAATGGGCATCAGTGGAGGTCACCACAGCACAAGCAGTTCAGGTATATCAGCTACAGCTTTCCCTAGCAGTGCCTTGGATTTGGCCTTCAAAATACTGCAAGAATGGTACCAGAAGTGACTTAGTTAATCTTCCAGTCCCTGGCGTTTATTAAATTATTCATAATTATGCTGCTGTTGATGGGCCTTGCATCTGAAGCACAGCTTTGGTGTCCAGACATGAACAGCCCTTCAGTCTCCTCACAATGCAAAACAAGCCACCAGTTCCTGCCCTCGTCTCCCTTAGGAAAACATCGCATTCAAGTGGGTTTCCCGTTTAGCCCAGGGCAGTAGGAACTCACCGTTTTTGGTTGCCAGGAAACAGTTATCTGGACTGAATGCCACCATCCCAATTCCCATTTTGGGATTTGCCCTGTCAGCAGCTGGTTTGATGTACTGTAGAGAGACTGGCACCTGGGAAACCTCATCTGGAATTTGACATAAAAGTACATTACTAGGCAAGCCTGAATGGACAAAATACTCAAATTCCAACGGTTAAAACCCTCCCTCTGAAGGGACTGGACTGTGTTTTACTCTTCCCCAAGATGCTCCAATCAAAAACTTGGTTTTAACTGCATCTCCATATAGACAGCTTACTATTCTTACCCTTCCACAAAAGGAAAAAGTCTGGAAATACAGGCAAGTCTGAGGTTAAACTATGAAAAAAGGGAGAGATCAAATTTTCCGGTCTCTTTAAATGAGCATTTCACACACAGGG